TACGGAACAATGGTACTTTTGTAATTCAAATTATGCAAGCAGAGTTTTAAATGTAAAACAAAAGTGCTCATGAAAGAAGCAAACACAGGCCAGGATACATATATTTTTCATTTCTGAGCTTCATGAGTAGCGATGTATCCTAAAGCTGGACATTTCTATCCACAAATAAAGAGGCCTGAGAATTCTTAGGAAAAAAGGGAGGAGAAGGAACTTATTGGGAAGCAGACAGGTGAACGGGGAATACAGCTGTTGTAACAATGGAACTTCCCTCATCGTATTTACGAACAATTGCACTGTATGTCAGTGTATGGTATAATAGAACAGCAGAGGGGATGCTGCTTACTGATGTACAGCACGACATAAGAACTGTAATCCACAAACAAGCTCGCTATGGGTTGACCAGCTGACATCAACTTACTCAACAGAAGTAACCACTGTCGAATACAATGAGAAAGGGGAAGCAGACTGCAGCAAATACAGTGATATTTACTTTTTCTTTTCTTGTATTTAAGGACAAAATATCCTTTCACAGCATACTACAGAGCAAGGATACTTAACGGCCAAGTGAAAATAAAAGGCAATATTTAAGAGGGGGGAAAAAACACCTTGCCCAGTACTAGGTGAGCTAGAATACATTCGAAATGTACCAAAGACAAGTTCTATACATGTTTTCTACAGCTTAGAGATATTCATTATTATCTCCAAAAACAGAAAATCAATCAAACACATGGAAAGAGGATGACACCCAAAACTCAAAGTGGGAGCTGTAACCAGCTAACCCAGCGTACTCAAATATTACTATTTCAACACAGAACTCAATGTGAAAATCCTGCTTCTGTAGTCCTGCTTTTGCCTTTTTATCACATGAAGTCCTTGACAGTCAGCGTATTTATAATCATAGGTCATGCTAAAAGGAGCTAGCCACGGTGTTCATGAGCATGTGTAGCGAAGGGCACGTGGACAAGCTTATAAGATACAAAATTAAAATTCAGGAAGGCACAAAAGTTTCAGAGAGCAGTGAAAGTTTACGGCACACCTGTATCGGAAGCAAATTATGGACAGATTTCAAAAGGTTTGGACCGAATGAACTTCACTTTCGATTGCATTGTGCCCACACTTCGAAGCACCCCCAAAAGGGTGCAGCTACTCAAAGCTGATTAGAACATAAAGTAATTCAAATGCTGTAGACAGCCAACGCAAGATGAGCATGTCACATGATTCAGCAATTCAATTTCTAAGAATAGAACTATTCAGAGCGTGCAAAACCGTTAACAGAAAGCGACCCAGTCACTGCTAGCACCGATGGAACGTTGAAATATTTAGCAGTCCCACATCGTGCATTCTTTGGCTACACGGACAGAAAGAATAACAGCACATTTTTGCAGGTGGAGCAAGTATGTTTTGTACTCTCACACTCTGCATATAAAGCACCCTTTTATCGTTGGCCTGCATGCCTTCACCTATAAATCAGATTTACCTAAAAACGAAAGAGGAAACTACCATGGGTCTCCAGGTTTCTCATCTTCCTGAATCCTACCATTCTGAAGCCGACCATTCCGAGGCACCCAAACAGTACCTGCATTTGACATCTACAACAAAGTCCTCGGTATTAAAATCCTTGGTTTAAAAAAGTTTAACTGACACAATTGACAAAGAACGGAGCGTAGAGAAGTTCTCTGGTTATTGCAATACTGTAACACTGACCAACAGCATGACTGGCCACTGAACTGAACCTCTCCTACGTGATGGCTACACCTTGTGACACTCGCCTCATCTCTGAAACAGGTGGAAAGCCTGCTCCAGACACTGCAGGTATAGACAATGGCAGAGAGTCCAGCATCCTATTATCTAGATGTATTGAACATTTTCGCTGGGAGTCCATCTTTGATTTCAAACTAGAGATGCATACTGCATGGTATGTTCGCATCTGCATGTGGTAGTCACAATTACACAGTTAATATACAACCTTTTAAAAGAAAAGCTATCAAACAAAATCAAAAACAGAAAGAAAAAAAGCAAAATGTACAACACAGGAAGTTAAATAACATGCTACTGAACGACCAATGTGCCACGGAAGAAATGAAAAAAAAAAACAAAATCAAAAACCTTCTGGAAGCAAACAGTGCTACTCTGTGACCTATGAGTCAGGGAGGAAATTAAAAAGTTAAAAAAAAAAAAACTTTTCTGAATGAATGAAAATTTTAGAAAAATCAAAATCCATGAGATAGAGCAAGAACAGTATCGAAAGAGCTATTAATCTTGTACTTATTCGCATCCAAACTTTCCCAACTTGAGGATATTATGTTCAGTGAAAAAGTCAACCCCAAAGGGACAAATATTATCTGCACTCTCTGATATAAAGGCAACTTTCATGCAAAATACCAGTTTACCCTTTAAACACCGCACAATATTTTCTCTGCGTCATAATTAGGACTCAATTTGTGGGGACATAATTAGGTCAATTAATACCTACAGAAAAAAAAAAACCTGTGGCAAACCAATAAAGCATGATTAGACTTACAAATAGTGGTTCAAGTGATAATACTGGAGTCTGCAGAGGCTTAATCAAGAAAGTAATCTAACGCATTATCGAGAGTGACATTAACTCTGTTCTATTTCCAAAGAGAATGTCCCTCGTCCCTCCAGCCTCTTCATCCTGTCATTTCACAACACTCCCACAAGTAAACTTGTTTCGTAAAACAGTTAAAAATTCAAATATTTAAGCCCCAAAAGCTCAACTTGTTTATACAGAGGGGAGTAACCTAAATCCACGATCTAAATTGAGAATGTGTATATCAAAATACATTCACCAAACAGTATTGATCATTCTTAATGATAGTTGAACTGTTCAATCATATGAAGGAATATCATGTGTAAGTACATAATTACCGTTTGAACAGAGTATTAAGTACATAAATGCACTCAAAATATGCATCCACCTGAGGACACCAATGGGATAAATTTTGGCTCAAATTTCCTTGAGCATCTTTGGATCAGAAGTAAATAACCGAAATCATTTTCTAGAGACTGGCTGATCAGCATTTTCTGATAATTCTAAAGGTCATTAAAGTTATAGGAAGCCAACTCATATTTGCCAAACTCAGAAAGGTAACGCATCCCTACTCAGGAGACCATCTTCTCAGTCTTATGGACAATGTAGGAGTACAGCCCAGCTGGAGAGAGAACGGTCAGAGGGGTCACCGTGTTACCCGTGCATGGCCATCAGACCAAAACGATTCAACGGTTACCTAGCGACAAATACATGTTGGTGATTTCTACATTATCTTCACTGTGCATATCATCTCGCTATGGAAATAATGTCCTGCCTCCAGAGCTTCCTTAATACAAGAAATAGGCTTAATGTTTCATTTTCACAGTAAGATGTTACTTTAGAAAGTCTAAGAGAACCACCCATTGCTATCAGAAGTTGACAGATTATACCACCATGTACACATATGGTGACAATACATAAAGCCCAAGGGACAGTCTAGTGGACAACCTGTAGGTTACAAGCAGAGAATGCAACTACAGCATGCAAAAGATCACAAAATCCACATTAACTCAGAACACTCTGTGGTATAGCTCTCTCTCCACACCACACCAGCATTTTGAGTGCACAAAAATGCCTTTGAAACACGGAAATTGCAGATCTGTTTTATGGGTGCCGTTTGCCTTATAATGTTTAAAATAACTGCACCCTACTGATATCCTGTCTCCTTGCAAAAGGGTGCAATCTCTTAAACACGTGAAATCAACACGACAGTGTCAGGAAAAAATGATCTGGGGCTAGCGCTGGGGCACCCCGGTAAAGCTCCACCTGGCAATGCTGGCATGCCATAGAGATGCCAGTTCATGTCCTGACTGCTCCACTTGGGATCTGCTCACCGCTCATGACGTGAGAAGAGCCACAGAGCTTCATGGCCCAAGGGTTTGGGTTCTGCACCCATGTGGGAGACACAGAGGAAGCTCCGGACTCCTACTTGGGCGTGGCTCTGCGATTTGGGGCTAAACAAGGACTGAGGGAGTTTGCTTCCACTGTACTTGTAAGAAATGTTAAAGGGCATACCACAAAGTGAAGTGACAAGACATTAGACATTAACCAAAGCCACATGAGGAAATAAAAAGATCCCAGGAAAGGTACGCAGGTAATCACAAAAGAGAAGAAAAATTCCTTCCACAAATTCCCCTAAAAATGATGAAACCAGTTGCTTTTATACGTTGAATCGAAAACACCCTAATCATTACTATAGTTGTTAGCACTTCTGACACTGACAAAAAACAAAATGTTTCTACTTTTAAATGGATTTGAGATAATATTAATCACAGCCACAGGCAAAAAAATCTCCTTACCCACAGCAACGGCACTTTCACTGGTATGAGGTAGGTCAAATCAATCTCATGGTTTTTTTTAATGTAGCTCACTTTCCAGCTTATTGCCAAAAACATGGTATAATGCAAAAATATCTTTTCTCACGCTGCTAGTAAAGTGCTCTATTGCATTGTATAATCTCAAACAGATCGCAAGAAACCTAACCGTAATAGAGTCAAAGCACTATTTTCTACTAAGCAACACTGCGTATTTACAGTCTTTAAGTTTTCAACAACAGATGCCATGCAATGTATGGATCTTACAAACAAATCTATCCCTTCAAAATGCACTAGCCTTTGAGTGCAATAGAAATCATGCAATGTGTCCACCACAATTATTACTTGAACTTTCCACGTAAGAACCAATTAGTCACCCAATACTACAGGTCTCTCACTTAACTTGAAGACCCAGTATTTTTAATCAGCTTATTTCACCTTCTTTCTTATGATTCCAAGAAAGCGCAAATGACGTGAATTCTCAAGAAGGAAAGCAAACTTGAGCAACTGAAGCTTATCAAAAATACCTACCCAATTTTTTCCTTCACCACACACATTTTCTTCAGAAACTGGCCTACCAGAACATTTCCATGGCAACGCGAACTCAACATTCGCCTGTAACAGGAAGTGCTTACCTCAGTCAAGTGTGGTGTGGGGTTGAATCCACAGCGATTGCACACTCGGCTCTTGCACTCCGTGCAAGTGTTGAAGTTGGGAGGATCCTGGGAATCCACGTTGAGGTCAGCTTTGCAGAGAGGACAGGCTATGTCTGGCTTGGGAGACTTCTCGGGTTCTGGAGGAAGGCCAGACTTTGGAAGCTCAGTTGTAGATTGTTTGCTGTCCTTAGCAACTGAGGGCCTCTTCTCTGCCTCTATTTTCACCACCGGGGACTGTGCCGTTTTGGATGCTGGTTTTTCAACCCCTGGACCTTTGGATTCTTTTTTCACAGGCACAGCTTTTGCTGCTGCCAGTGCCTGACCAGTAGCTTTGGGTGGCCCCTGAGATGTGAGTGGCTGCGAAGGTGAAGGAGCTTGCTTAGCTGGGGCCCCGGTCCCACCCTGTGAGTGAGCTGCAGGCTGGCCTGCTGTGGAAATTAAACTCGATGCCTGGCTGAAGATGGATGCTCCAAACCCAAAGAGTTTGCCAGTCACAGTTTCTTGAGGCGTTGTGGGCTGTGACTTGGGGGCATCCGTGATGCTTCCCAGAGTGAGACTGAAGTGTTTTGGCTGCTCCTCAGGCTTTGGGGTCTGCTGAGATGGAGCGCCAGTTTGGCCAGTGGGAGGTCGCGGGCCAGCAGGTGCAGGTGACCCTTTTGGCATTTGCTTGGCATCCGGTTTAGGACTCATTTTGGTTGGTGCTTTCTTAGGTTCTTCCTTTTTTGGAACTGGAACAACTTGACTTTGACCTTTGCTCTCTGATGTAGGCCCCTGATGTGAAAGAATTTTCGAATCTGACGCAGGTCGAAGGATAGCCTGAGAATCCAACGGGGTGACTTTTCCCCCTGTCGGGGGAAAGCTTTGCGAGGGTTTGGCAGAATCCATTTTTTGAGGAGGGGCAATTGTCTCTGGGGACTCTGACTGTATCCCGGAGCTTGGCACAGCCGGATCCTTTGCTGCTAATAAGGAAACCTCACTGCCCATGGGTGGCTGTGCAGTCTTGGGCTGTTCTTCTGCAGCAGCTGGGAGCTTGGGCTGCTCAGATGGGAAAGAAGGCTCCTTGGCAGCAACAAGCTTGGACGAGGACTCTGCCACGCCATGTTGCTTGGTCGTGGCTGGGGGAGAACCATGAAGGGTTGGCTGCTTCACTAGTGCTGGTGGCTTCTTGGGTACAGGTACCTTTGGCCCATCCTCTTTGAGGGCAGCATCCTTCTTTGAGGAGCTCTGCTCTGATTGCAGGGCTGACTTTCTCACATCCGCTGCAGGAGGAGCAGGTGCACTCTTCGGTTTTGTTTGTGGAGAAGATGGAAGGGGAGCCAGATCCCCTCCTAGTGCTCTTTGCATCTGACAGTTTAAACAGAGCCACTCTTTCACCTACAAATAAAAGAAGAAAAGGGTCACTGGCATGACAGAGTAAATACCTTTAAAATATTACGGGTATCCTTGAGATGATGTTTCCTGCAAAGCTTAAAACATAGTCAATTATTGTAATTTATGTTAAAAAAAGTAAATGTTCGCTGATATTAAAATAATGGGTTTCAGAGAACACAGCATGCCATATTTTAAGGCAAACAAGATGTAAGAATCGATATTTAATTTCACGTTCCTGGCCATGTTAGTTGTGTTATTCTTTGCTTTGCTTTACTCAGTTTTGGTGACTGTCAGAAAGAGAAGCACACATTCTATAAAACATGCCTTTTAATTTATTAGATTCTACTCATCAGTTACAAGAAATATCTACTCTGTTGGGGACCAATAAACAGTTTATAATCATACAGCACAGAGTAGGTCTGTATGAATGTACTGAAAATTTCTTACATTAGCAAATCATTCCTTCCACCTCCAGGGCGACATACTCGAACGTGGGGAAACAAAATTAGCTGAACACGCTGAATTAGGAAAAGAACATTTTGTGAAAGTGAAAAGTGACTGTATCGCCCCAAACCATCCTATGTAGGGGTGCGTATTCCTGCAGTGTTAAGACGCTCCTTGTTGGTTGGGATGCCTGCATCTTAGCAGCACGGTTGCTGGGTTGTGACCTGCCTTTGTTTCCCATTCAGCCTGTTAGTGCCCTGCTGCCAGTATTCCTGCTGCCCGCACAGGAGAGACGGATTAAGTCTCCGGCTCCTACAGTTCCGCCTGGCTAAGGCACCTTGAGGAGTGAACCAGAGATTAAAAAAATTTCGGTCCCTCTGCCTTTCCAATAGGTTAAAGAAAGACTTCACAATTTTGCAAACTATAACAAACAGCATGACTTAAAAGAGAAAATATTGTACTGTTTAAAGTTTTATGGATCTCTATGAGACAATGGATATTATATAGGTGTTTCATTAAACATACATGGGGGGTGGGTGCTTAAAACACTGTGAAGAAGTGAACATGTAGCCTAGTCTTAAATTACCTATGTCTTACATTGGAGTCCTGGGTTTGATACCTGCCTCCATCTTATTCTAGCTTCTGGCTAAGGCAGGCCCTGGGAGACAGCGGTTATGGTATAAGTTATTGAATTCCTAACACCCAAATTTGGCCTCAAACCAAGCCCAACCATTCCAAGCCTCTGGTAAATAAACTAGTAGATGGAAAATTTCACCCATCATTCAATCCACGTATCTTTTCAACCACACATACATACATACATCTATTTCTCTGTATCTTAAATTTTAAGAAGAAACGCGGAACCCTGGAAAAGGCACACACTTCCATAAATGTCTGAAGCCTTCTTTGAGTGTGCATGAGAGAGATGTGTACGTAAGTGATATTCCTTGTATACACACAGTTGCACTGGCTCTCTTCAATATCGCATTCACTGTGAAAAAGGAGAGAGATTTGAAGTTGCTATTAGATTTTAAGAAAGTTTTGATTCCAAAGAGGTTTGCTTACTAAAAAGCAAATTGAAACTAAACAAACAAAAAACACTTTAAATGTGACAAATCATTTGGCACCTCAAATTCTATCCAAACAACAGTACCAGTTAGGACTAAAGTTCCTTGTACAGAATTCTTAATGGTGAAAAAATACATGAAGCCTAGACAAAAAGAAAATTTCCCATAGCACAAAATCAAAAAGTGTTCGTCTCGCAAATGACGTTTTCCTATTTTCAAGCAATTGCCTTTGAGAAATTAATCATTCCTAAACTTCTAAATCTCTGAAATTATTTAAACTCATTCACCAAGACAAAAAGAGTCATCTTGCAATGTGATAGAAAACAAACTTATATTTGGACAAAGTCAAAGGAGATGGATGTTCAAGTCAAACGGAAAGATTGTATTTCTGATTTAAAAAAATAAAATGATGATGTAAAGTAAGAATGGCGTTCATTGCATGTGTACAGTTTGGATGCTCTATACATGGCTGTTTGTCATATTTCAGTCTTACTAGCTTTCTGTATGTTTGAAGCACTTTATAAGAGAAGCAATTCTTTCCACCTGGCAATACCTAAAGTACCTAAACAATCAAGCAATTGTTATTTCAGCAAGGCAGGGGGAAAAGTCCAAAACATTTACTATCACCTTCAGGGTGAGGATGAAATGAAAACACACCTACTCATTCACAAATCTACATCAAGTGTCTGGCGACACTCTGACAAGTTGCTCCTTCGTTCTCATTTATTTCCTTTTCTTTTGCCATTGAATTTTTTCCATGCATTTAGTTTGTGGGTAAAATGACAAGCCTCTTATCAGTGTGAGTACTTTTTAATGAGAGGCCAACTGATTGGCCCTAACTCCATTTTCGGACAACTGTAACACAGATCACTAGAATGATATCTCAAAAACTACTGTACACGAACATATTTGCTACGATTCTTATTTATAAATCATATGACTTGGTGTGGTTTACAATATGCAAATAGATGCTGACAGAAGCAGAGACAGCAGTCAGGAAATGAGAAGGCAACAAGCAGGAGTCACCGACCCTCATGGAGACTCCTTCCTCTTCAGGCACAGATGCCAGTGTCATTTTGTCCTTTTAATGACCACATTTTTTTTTAACTTTGATAAGCAACACTTGGAGATATCTGATGCCTCAGTAACCCGTTCGTTGATAGAATCCAGACTGATATCACTGTCATCAGCTATAAGAATATGAAAAGATTTGTTGTCCTCTTCATTTTCAAAGAACGTCCGCTTTTAAATTAAATATTCGATTGGCCAAATCAAAGACAGAAATGACTTTTATCTCAACACTTAACAGTCATCAGAAAGCAGAGGCTGGCACTGGGGGCTAATTCTGTCGAGCTCAATGTCAGAACCTCCTGGAGAGTGTACAATCTGGAAGTTGGAGTGGCCTAGTAGAGAGATAGTGGGTACCCCCTTCGTGGGAACCACTCCCACTGGAGAGCACTAAAACCAGGACAGGGGCAGGGGTGGCTAGACAGAAAGGCACCTGCCAGTATGGGAGTGGGCTGGATAGGGGGCCGGTTGGGTTGAACTAGGCTTCAATGCCCACTGACAAGTACGAGAGCTAAATGGGAAGTGGGACAGACTGAACAAGCCTGTGGTACATACTGGCAAGCACGGGAACCAGGGTAGGGAACAGGCCTGGTGGGGGTCATAGGGAGTCGTCCCAACCAGGCTGCAGCTCCCACTGGTTTGCGTGAGGACCGAGTACGAAGTGGGTAGGATCGAGCTGGACTACAACACCCATTGGTTCAAGTGGAAGACGGGGCTGGAAACAGAACTGATCCAACAATTGCAATGATCAGCATGTGCTGACTGAGGCGACAAACAGTGCTGGACCCTGTACTGGCAAACTCACACAAGAATCAGGTTTGGGATCATCTCAGATTAAGTTTCTTTGGAGATCCCTCCAACTGAACTGCTCATCTCAGAACCCCAACCATGAAGAGACTACATGAGCCAGTGGATTCTGAATAGGTTTCATCACAACTGGAACGGCGAGATTGGCAGCAATCCAGACCTGTTGAACCATCAAAACTGCTGGAGCAGGACCCTCACAGCGGGGGACCTGGGATGGGTGGGAGGCTGGGTGGGGCTTTTCCCTTTGTCTCTCCCTTGACCCCAGAAACAAGGGGAAAAAAATGATATTAGTGTGGAAACAATGGTATAACTCACTTTCCTGTAGCCCTTGACCCTTTGTACCCTAATCAACTAAGTAAGATTATTAAAAAATAATAATAAATAATTAAAAAGTTAACAGATACATGAAAAAAAAAAACACTTAACAGTCTTGTACTGAAAACCAGCAGCAATTCCAATCCCCCGATACACCTGATAATAATGAGAACACTGCCTTCCGACATAATGGACACATGAAATAGTCCACAACCAACCCCAGGGTGAACCTTCTTTCTCCTCTTGATCCTCCAGGTCTTTCACAACGCACGGAGGGGCAGCAATGCATTGTCCTGTTCCACTGCCCCCTCAGTTACCAACTAGAAATCTTCTTGTAATATTTTTACTGCATTCTCAACTGTTCTCTAAGATAATGATAATATTTGTCTTTCCTTCTCACATTTCCAAAGTCACACTCCTCCATTGGGTTCTCAACAGTTTTCAAAACTGCCTCATTTCCACCAAAAGTTACCTGTTGAAAACCAACAAGATGGTAACCTGAACTTCTTCGCGTTAAAACCTCCATGCCTCTTTAATCTCTACAACACAAAAGCTCTGAATACAATGAAAGTGTGTATTTTCATTGGTGTTCTCATATCGGAATTTCAATAATTCTGTTTAAAATTCTACACCTCCCCAAAGCAACAATGTTAAGGGGCCTCCTCAGAGCAGTCTTTCTATTGACCCTCAAGATCTAAGTGACCCTTTTAACATCACAGATGTTGACAAATATTACTTGAGTTGACTTGAATTAACCTAATTAATTGAAACTATTCAGCTGTGTACTTCAAGCTGCAGCGTCTCTGTGTTTACTCTGCCGGTTCCTCTGTTTACACAGTGCGTAGAGCCAGCAGGCATCGGTCTTCAACGACTGGATGTCACGACGCTCAGAATTCTATCCTGCACCTCAGCCCACTGACACGCCACCACACCTTTTTAATCCAACTCATTACAATTCAGCTGAGGAGTCCCCCAGAACTACAATATCTGCGAACCACAGACATCGTCTTCACCTTGAGGCAATATCACCTTGTTCTACTTCCAAAATCAAATCTATAACTGGATTCTGAGCGGAGATGTTCCTGGATGGACTGATCATCACTGCCTCACACACGTGTTGCCAGCCATGCACCTGTGTACAGCTGGTTCCTAGTTCTCCACACTTCTGCACTAGCCAGGCGTAATGGTCTCAAAATATTTTAGGCCTTAGCACCTCCTTCTCATGTGACAGGAGTCAAATAGTATCTCAGAACAATGCTGAGTCATAAAAGGCAGTTTCACAACAACTTCAAGATCTGCTCT